CCTCATCGGTCCAGCATCACAGTTTGGAGGCCTTTTCTTTTTAAATATTTGATTAAGACCTAGATTAGAGCACAGCCACAGACTTGTACTGATGGAAACAGGGTGGAAAATGGTCATGGATGGTGAAGCAGAAGAGAGACAGAAATGCACAGCTGGAAGGGCAGGAGTCTCTTAAAACCAGCTCTTGTGCTGGCAGGAACAAGTACCACGGAATAAAATAGACTTTTTACTGCACGTATTTCATACTTATTCACATGTTAGATCTGATCACATATAAACAAACTAGAAGGGTCCATTATTTATATGGTGTAATAAATATTTATATGAGAGCTCTGCTTCAAATCATATATACATCTGCATTAAGAGGAGGAAATCAAAACAAACTGGGTTGGATCACCTTCTGTCACTAGAAGCATTAGAATGAAAAATGCCAGGGAATGAGTACCTAAAGAACTGGCTCATTTGCTGCTCTTCCATTATCAAATCCCATGAGTCGGAGAGCACCACTGACCATCTGAGTTTCCTCAGGGCTTTGTAAACACATCCATTTCTCCCCTTTATGGAGGCACAGGAGAGAACTTGTATGTTAAGTGACAAGGACATTTCACTTCTCAGCAGACTGCTCAGCTTAACCCACACATCACAACCCAGAGCTGGGCTGTGGAGTCAGGGTTCCCACGATCTTGCCCTGACTCCAAAGCCAAGCCCGGATTCCTTCTACCCAGGATGAGCAATTAAATAGCTTTGGGCTTTTTTGTGTACGTGATGGAGAGAGACGGGGTCCTTGAGAAGCAGATCCTGTGTTAGAGGTCAGCTGAACACGTCCATCTCACTCTCTGTGGTTCAGAGGGGTAGCTACTGTAAAACTGAATAATGTGAACGTGTCAGGTGTCCTGAATATGATCAAAAGATATTGCGCCACTAAGTGATAAAAAGGGTAATCATTTTACATCCAAGTTCTTCCTCCTTGGCCTCCAAATTAGATCATTACCTTGCACTCAGATACACGTAGGGAAAGGCCATTTTTTTAAATTGGTTTCCCTTGGTATAAACAAGTCACTTAGAGATGCAGGCAGAGGCAGCTGTAAACAGCACGAAAAAGGGGCAAAGGGCTCACTAGGCTGAGGGAAATTAATGGTTCATTGCTTGTAAATAGCTATTTCCCCAGAGCCTACCCTATGCTCTGTGTATGCTCTCTGCACATGCTGGCAGCAAAGTGGAGGCTTTATTAAGGGAGTTACAAACAAGGTCAAATTCCTTTAGGAGCTTTTCAGAGTTCCCAAGGCATTCAAGGAGGGGTCCAGCTGTTTGCAGGGGTTTCCCATTACGGTCAGAGACACAAGTTTTAGCACGTTTCCAGTTAAAAGGAGATCTGGCAGATTTTCTCTTTAACATGACAGGGATAGGATGGAGTTCTTAGCAATAACTTTCTCTTCACAGATGACAAGCACATTCATATAGACATTAGACAAAGAGAAAGCATGGCATGGCATGGTATGGTGTGTGAAGTCTGACTTGGGCATCTTACATCACCCAAAAGTAGCACAACAATAGCTGGATTAAAAGGGCTGCAACGCCTCAATACCTCAGGACCCACCTTAGCACCTAACGTGTCTCATGCCTCTGGAGAATCTGGGAAACTCACTTTTGGTGGACTTTATTTCCTCAACATTTCTACAGGAATACAAGGTCTTGTTTTTCAAGGCAGAAATGACACAAATTGAATTATTTTTTTAACTTATATATGCAGTGCTCTATTAGGCCACCTCTCCTCCCCATCTTAGACCTCAGCTCTTTAAAAGCCTCACCTGTACAAGCTGTAGATTTCTAAATTCAATCCAAATGTGCATTTTTCTTCCACAGGGGAGGAAAAAAAAAAAAAAAAGAATCAAATTTTCTGAACTGTTTTTCATTAGGAGAGGAAGAAAAGATAACCTTCACCACCTTTGAGGCAAGAATGAGTTCTTCACTCATCAAATAGCTCATTTTGCCTGGATATAAATAATCACCGCAAACTTGTCCAGGAGCTACTTCCCAGCAAAAGGCCTTTTGCCAAGGCTCAGACTTGACACAAATCATCAGTCCCATGAAATTCAAACAGAATAAATCTTCCATATACAGAACATAGCTTGGTTCTGCCTTACAGGAACTAGTTGCTGCCACAAAGTCTGAGTCATATGGTCATATTTGTAAGATCAGCTCGCTGTGAATGTCTGGGATCAAAGGCTGTCACGGAGCAGCCCTCCCCACACTGGAAACGTGGGAATGTGCAGGGAAATGTTCTCTAGCTAGCAAAAGCTTTGATTTATAAATTGTGATGTTTCCACCTGCTCCCGAAGGAACAGAGTTGCCTGCTGGGCTAGGCAGGCCCGTGGCAGAAGCACAGCTTCTGGAGCAGGTTGGGGGACCCTGAGCGCTGCTCCCACAATCACTAGTGGCAGCTGGCAGTACAACTCGCTCACTTCACTGCTGCAGCTGTAGGCAGGATGGTGATCTCTTGCAGCTTGCTGTGGGGAAGTATGGTGTGAATATGCTTTTTGCTGACTTTGGTTGGAGATGGATCCTACACCAGTTTCTCCTGTGGCTCAAAGGAGTGTGCTATCTGCAGCCACAACTCACCTTCCCGTTTCTGAATCACTGGAGCTCTGTCCCATTGGGTCAGCTCACACAGGTGGATGAGGGGAAGGTCGTGATGAGCAGAGACTGCCTGTAGCATTGGCAGCATCACCCTGAGGGATCTGCGAGCTGTTGCTGGAGAGACCTGAACAACCACTCCCAAATGCAGCTGGGATTTGAGGGCTGAACCATGGGGAGTTGAAACACCACCTGCTCACTCATAGGTTTTAAGTTAAGCTCATACCCCTCCACTTCACTCAGGATTCCAGCATGCAGAGAAACATCAAGGTCAACAGCTACAGTCTGTCTTTCACCCTACATACACAGTGCCCAAATGTCTGGGAGAACCCCAGGGAAGTCTCTGCTTCATGATGAGTTCCTCATCTCTCCCCTCCAACCCTGCAGGGCATTCAGTCAGCCACTGCCCTACCTACCTACCTCCTTGGCACCCTAGCAGCTCCAGGCTGATGTAACACAGATGCTTCAGACCTCAGCAATTCCAAACATGTGAATATTTGCTCGTGTCCAATATCTCAGTGATTGTTAGCATCAGTTCACAGCCTAATACCTTGTGCTGGATTTTAACATAAAGCTCCCTCAGCATTCCCATCCCTGGCTTGTTGTTGCAGTGCCTTGTACTGAGCCAGCTCTCATAACTAGTTTCATGTAAGAGCTGACACTGGAGGAAGGCCCTGCCTCATCCCAGCAGCAGGCTGTGTGCTGCACTCTGGGATCTGACACCTCATTTCCTTGGGCAAACATCCCAATTTGTAGAACTCACAAGGCCAGTTTTTGGCACGCAGGCACTAGAGGTGCTGTGGCACGTACAGCCCTGCTGTCAGACCCCACTGCTTGTTCACTGCCTCCCATCCCATTTTCTGGTGTCACACGCCTGGATCCCAGACAGTACAGGTTTTGTGAGTTAGTATCTGGGCAAAGAAGAGTAAAACTTTGCAGCTTCACGTAGGGTTCTGCTTCAGGCTGACATTGAAGAGCAGGCCCCTGTGCTGGCACCTTGTCACTTTGTATGTGCCTGTTCTGCTCTCTCAGCAAGGACAGAGGAGTGGGGTGCTCAGGTCTACTCCAGAAACCCATCCAGTTTTACTGACTCGGTAAGTTCTCACCCAGCAGCCCAACCACCACAGAAACCAGTGCACAGCCCCTCCCAAACACCACACAAAAGTGGTCTAAGCTAACCTGCCTCACATATCTGTTTCAGCTTCTGCACCCTGGCACCTGGGGGACAACAGGAGCACATCCAGGGACACTGGTCACCTCAAGAGACGGGAGGTAACTCGTTAAAAGATGTTGACTCTGCTGTCATGCACTCACCCACGGGACTGGGCAGGAGACCCTGCACCGCTCAGTTGTGCTGCAAGTGCTCAGGTTTTCACAGCTGCACAACTAAGGCACTCTCCACGCTGCACAAATAACCTGACTGGCCTGATTCCACCTGTGGGTTCCTACTGACACCCATCACCTGTGTATCGTATTTCCAAGCAGTCACTTCACATGCTTCCATTTGAATAGCATTTAACTCCTTGAGGGCACTGGATCAGCAGCTGTGAAGCTGAAGATCTTCACATACAGCTGAACAGATCCCAGCACAGGCAATTGCAGCAGATCAAGCTTCCCTGTACAGCTCCCACTGAAGCCTTTCCCTCTCTGGAGGCAATTCTTCTGGGAAACCAGTTAATTCCCTCTCAGCTCTGTAGAGAAGGATCATGAGGAATGTTGAACACAGGATTTTGTACTGCAGACTGTTGCTCTTTCTATCACAGCCTAAAATATTCAAAGTCATTTCACATTGGCTCAAGAACAGACAGTTCTAGTGAATGTTTTTCAATTATTTATCTTTCACTCCTGACTGTAAGAGACTATGATAGCCTGAGAGTAAAAATCTACTTGAAGATACTGTAAGCCAACCATAACATGATGAAACTTAACAACTTGCTTTTTTAATTCGCTCCTTTGCTTTAACTTCAGTAAAAGTTTAAATGCAGTATCAGGGCTTCAATGTTGCAGATAGCACATGACAATATGCTCCTTCATATTTTAGGCAGAGGTTTGGTGTCTGAACCACCAGAAGGACGGAAAATTGAACAAGAAATCCAAACACCTTCCATCATATAATCTGATATATCTGTTAAAAGCCTGTGACTTCGTAACTTGGCTGGAACATCTAGCTGAATCTCGGTTTGGTGTTCATGATGAAACTCACCACTGGTTAACAAGGTGCCACACACCAGGAGCACTTACACGGCAGGTTTTATGTCCCAGTCCTAATTTTCTGATCAGGTTCTGTGCCAGCACTACCATGATGACAGTAAACAAAATCACCCTGCCCATTTTAGCAAGCTCTGCCAACCCATCCCCCTGCTTACCAATCATGGGCATCCCTAGGTTTTGGTACGGGCACTCCAGGCCACCTCCTTGTGTCCTCCCAAAGATAGCCGAGTAAATGGCTATCACCATGCTCTTCTTACAGCTTAGCCTCAGCTTGTCATCTTCACAGGCTACTTTACTCTTGTATTCATCTGGAAGGAAACAAACACTTGGTTACTCAGCTGATCCAGAGGTGGGCACCCAGCAGGGTGGGTGGGAGCCCTCTCACCTCCCCGTGGTGTGAGCTCAGCAGCAATTCCGGGCACACGCTCAGGGGTGCACATCAGCTGCCAGCACAACCCCAGCCTTAGCAACTGCATTTGCTAGAGGAACACAGATCTTTCCCATCATGCATTCTGCCTCTGACATTATCAGCACATTTAATGAGCATATTTTAGGCTGGCACATGTCAATTCTGTTAAGTAGCCAATAATTTCATTTTGCAGACAAATAAGTGAGGAAGTATGGCTATTGAGTGATATGGCAAGGGAAGGTGAAAGCCTGTCTTTGGGAACCTACCTCATCCATATCAGCCCTTTATGTGCCAAGCACTTATTCTACATCACAGAATCTAAAATTCAAACATCATCATTCTTAAAAGCCTTTTTTCCCAGCAGCTCTCCCTTGGCAGATCCAATAGGAGCTATACTAAGTGTGATAATTATGGAAGCCGCTCCTGCCTGTTGCAAACACAGATATACAAAAGCTGCTCCCCAAATTCCTCTCAAAATGGTCAGCTCGAGAATGCAAAATACATTCTTGCTCTTGAAAGGTTGGTACACAAAGAACAGTCACTCAGTTTACATCTCTCAAGAAGACTGGACAATCATTTCATAAGAAGCACATGTCATTCTCTTCTCTTTACTATTATTTGGATTATGGGAACCTCTAGAGGTCCCAACCTAGAATTGGCCCTCCCCATGTGTGTCTGACTACATATTACTGAAAACAAACAGTATTTTGGAGAGCTGAACCTTTACAGCTAGACATCTACAACTGTGACAGAAAGAGACTAAGAAAAAGGCAGTGACGTAAAGAGAGTAAAAAAACTGAAGTGACATGTCTGTGGACACTGCAGCCAACTTAGGGCACAGCCAGGAATACACCCTCAACCTCCCCAGCCTCTGGAGAGGGACCTTTCACCTTTTTATGTTATTTACCCTTATAAATGTGGCCATAACAGCATCCAGATTGCTTAATGGGTAGGGTCTGTGACCCCTGGTAACGCCCCAGGCATGATCAGTCATTTCATCTTGAATGCCTCTCTAGTTGTACCAGGTCAAAGTTGTGCCAGAGAGCACGTGAGCAACCAAACACATAACCATCAGCCAATGCCTGGGACTGCCCCTGTCCCTGTATCACTTCCTAGCATAGACATCATTTTTGTCTCTCTCTGACAGTGGCTCTCAGTGTCTGGTATCACACACAGACACACACACATATATATAAATATATCTATCTATCTATATATATATCTGTAAGAACTTATGCAAAGTCTACATCCACCAAACTATTCAGTAACTGAGAACACCAGCTAAGAATTACCTTATAGGTTAATATTCAAGTCTTCCAATCCTGGTAGTTAGCACTTAATGTCATATTTTTTTTAGTGCAATGTAATTCTAGAATTACACTACAATTGAATTCTTGAACTATAGAATTCAAGAATAATTTTTCCTTGTTGGTGATGGAAAGTAATTTTTCCACCAAAGTTGAATCATAGAAGAATTTAGTACAGAAGACTCCTCAGGAGGTCATCTAGCTTGAACCATGTTCAAAAAAGGGCTAATTTCTACTTCAGATTAGATTTTTTCAGAAGCAACCACATGGAGAAAACATGAGTTATACCAAAACATGAACGTGTTGATTTAAAAAGAAATATCTGAGAACGAAATTATTCCTCATATTCAACTTGAAAATTCCTACTTGAAGCCAAAAAATAGCACCCTCAAAGTAGCTGCTGTTCAGAGCATCAACTGGAATATGAAAACCCTGATCCAAACCTTCGCAGTCCAGATGGGAATCTTAACCCTAGACCCTATTCCAGTACATAATCTTCCTTCTCACTCTGCTAACTTTTTGCAAACATCTCTGAAAGATCCTAATTTTTCTCCCACTGCAGAGAAACTTTCAAAGCTCTAAGATATTTATTGAATGTGAAAACACTTTGTGATCCGTCCCTGTAGATGAAGACACAATTAAGGCCTACCTCATTCAAGGGAGAGTCTGTGCAGAGAACACACATCCCTCAGCAATAACCATATGTATAAACCCACGACCAGCTGAGTGTGTAAAACGTGACAGGAATCAGAAATAGAAGCTTTTTGCGATTTCAGAGTATATAACGAGAGAAGAACCTCAAGTAGCTGTGAAGAATCAGTGGTGGACTTGACAGTGTTAGGTTAATGGTTGGACTTCATGATCTTAGAGGTTTTTCTTAAACTAAATAAGTCTATGATTCTATGACCATTTTATCTCTATTTCATCCATAGTCAACATAAAAGCATCTGACTGCTACACTGAACATACTAAGGGGTTTCATCTTCACCTATAAATGTCTCCCACAGGATTTTTGTTTCTTCTGTGAGGGAAATTAAATGAAAGCTTTACTCTGCTATAAAGTATAAAACTTAACAGAGTATAATAGAACTTTATGGACTTATTAGACTTTTTTTTTTCTTTAGGGAAAAAAAACCAGATTAAAACTAAAAGCACAAGGGCACAGAAATCTCCTATAGGACAAGCTGTACGTAGTTAATGTTAAATCAATATTAGAGAATAGAAGAATACTTGTGACTGGCTGAAGTGGTTGAAATATGAAATAGTCAATTAGCTTTAAAGAAAGAGCAATTTTGAAGCCGCTAATGAGAGGGTCCTCTGTGAAGGTCTTATTTCTTACAAGGCACTAACTCAATTTCCTCTTCCAATTTGGTTATTATTAGCTACATATCTCAATTAACAAGTATAACTGATTGCTTAACCACATGTTCTATGGACTCATTTAAGGTCTTTAGAATACTTAACAAATTCTGCTGACCATTCAAAGTCAGAGCTTGTAATTTGGAAACTTGACTGGGATTTAAACACAGTGAATATTTCACTGAGCCCACTGGGATGGACAGGCATTCACAACTGAAGGTCAGTCCAGCAGTCATGAGACAATCAACAACTTGTCCTTATAACACCTTCCAGTTCCTAAAGGAGGTACAAGAGAGCTGGAGAGGGACTTTTCATAAGGGCATGAAGTGATAGGACAAGGGAGAATGGCCTGAAGCTGAAGGAGGGCAGGTTTACACTGGATATTAGGAAGAAATTCTTTACTGTGAGGGTAGCGAGGTACTGCAACAGGTTGCCCAGAGAAGCTGTGGATGCCTCATCCCTGGAAGTGTTCAAGGCCAGGTTGGATGGGGCTTTAAGCAACCTGGTCTTGTGGAAAGTGTTCCTGTTCACCGTAGTTGCATTGGAACTGGATGGTCTTTAAGGCCCCTTTCAACCTATGCCATTCTATGATTCCATAATTCTATGAACAACAAAACACTGCCTCCCACATTTGCAGTTCTTACCCTTGTAGCTGCTCTGGGAAGGTGAGTTCAGGGCTTATGGGGGAAGCTGCCTGACGGATGGCTCAAAAATCAGAGTGGGGAGGTGAACTTGAGTGCCCACTCCTTGAGAGCAAGAGTAGTTCATGGGTGATGTGCTCCCACAACACTGCAGTGTGAAGTAAGAGGGCTGCGCCCCTTGAAGCAGATGTCACCTCCCAGTTACTAAATTCTGCCTCTATTTGAGCTGCCACTCCCCAAGGCTCTGGCTGAGTCCAAACTGGTTGGGCTGCAGTTGCCTGGTCTGGCACAGAGTGAGACACTGATTTCTTAAAAGGCATTTTAAAAAGGAAGAAAAAAAGAGTGAAACACACAGTAATACTTCAGTCTCACAAAATGTTCCTTTAAGCTTGATCACTGGAAGACAGTCTTGGTGTTTCTGGGTAACCTGATAGAAATCTGGATAAACAAACAGATAAGAAAGTGATGCTATGGAAGACACAAGTCTCTGAAAGTATTTTTCACTTCATAGCATTGCCATCTCCATCTAAACCAGGGTGAGCAAAAGCCAAACACTGGTGGCTCTCAGGCACTGGACAACAGTAAGGACTGTGACTGATATTAAAAAAATACAGAGCTAAGCATCCTCCCTATATTCACTGGTACTTCACCGATAATAACCTGACATAAACACTGAAAAGAACCGAGGCAGCACAAGTGACATAAGAGAGCTGGGACTGGGAACAAATGTGCATTTTTGTCTCTCACTCTCCCAAGCAGAACTGGCCTCCTACAGATCACTCACAATCTGGTCCTAAGCCTGCTCTAACTGTTACAGTCTGGATATAATTCAGGCCAAATGCAAACATTTGTATTAGTGGGTTTCATGTTTCACCCTGAAAAATTAAACACGCTTAAATGGCCTCGGAAAGGTGGCAGTGATATTCAGCAAATGGCTTACTCCACTCTAATCCCCCATGCAGTCATTTGTAGGGCAACAGAGATTTACCCTGATTAAGATATTTGCTAAGGATAATATCCCTTTTATTACTGCCTGGTTTCAGAGACACTGGCTTAAATATAACTCAGTAGAGAGAACCCAAGGAGGGAACAGCTGCAGGCTTTTCTAGACACGTTTTTAAAGGTCACTATGTGACACTATTATAATGTAGCTTGGACAATTATGGGGAAAAAATATAAATGTTTCTAATAGAAAAATGGGCTCTCTCAAACAGTAAAATGAATAAGAAGACCCATTTTAATCATAGGATGCATACAATAATATTAACCTATGTGACCTATAGTAAATACAATTACCCAGTGTCTTAAGAACATTTTTATTTTTGGTCCACAACAATTTTCTGAATGATCATGACTCAAAGCTCAAAACTAAATGTCAGTTGCCTCAATCTCTTCAGGACCTTAGAGATAAGAGATCCTAAAAAGATTTTGTTAGATCACTTACAAAGTGATGGAATGCATTAATGCCAGAGTTCTACCTTGCCTAAAACTATATTTTTGAACAGAACTTGTGGGAAAAATTATGAAATTTTGCTAATTAAAATATGCATACTTCACATAATCAGTGCATAATAGCTGACCCTATTTCCCAG